ATCAATTACAATGTCAAAATGGAGTAATCAGTAATTTAATTTAATCAAGCATTTTGACAAATAATCATAATTTAATCAATTACAATTGTCAAGTAATCGCCCCATGTCTGAAACAGGATTAGAGCCGAAAGCTATAAAGCTTATAAAGGTCTGCTATATATTTGTACTATGCAGTTAAAGTATGACAGTATTTATAATATTGTTTGGAACAATTTCATTGTCTTAGAAAAAGATTATTAGTTTCTTCAATATCTAGCTCTCAGTTCTAAAAGATGCTGGTCAGTTATAGGTCACAAGTTAATATTGTACAAAAATATAGTAAAATAAAATGAAGTTATATATACTACAAATTGCTTTATTATTTGAAAGATATTCATATACGAAAGTTTTATATGGGATTTGTATCTTTTATTTGTAAACATTAGGATGTATTTCTCTGCAAAAGTTTTGCATGAATCACCTGATCTTTATCAAACACGTCTTTAGAATGTAATCAATGTACTTCTATCTTCAAAGAACACTTTCAATTGTTTCTTGACTAGATAGCATTCTTTATTGTATTGTTTAAAACAATGCCAAACATAATTTGTCTGGCTATTGAAGAGGTAAATAATATAATTTAAGATATTAACATGTAATTGAAACACAAAATTGAGAATGCAATATTTTACATTAATCTGCTAATCGAACTCAAAATTAATAAAAAACGAGATTTCATTTTTATTTTATATTGGAATGCTTAGTTTTGATAAAAATTAAGATTATTGCTATAAAACAACATTGTGTGCTTATATACTATAAATTTAATATTATACAGTTTATTGTCAGTATATTTATAGCAGTTACTGTTTAATACTCGAAAGTTAAATATTGTCTGTGTGATAAACTGGTTGGTGTACATGATAGTTCTACATGTAACAGGGGCGGAATGACAAGTATCCAATGTAAATGATCAGTTCTTATAGTAGACAGAGGGTAATAGTTTCAGCTATAGTTCAGTTGTAAAACAAGCCAACGATTAACATGTATATAGTAAGCGTTCTGTATAGCTCAAAAGGTAGAGTGTGAGACTGTGAATCGGGCGACCCGGGTTCGATTCCAGGACGGCGCAGGTTACGTTCGTTGTGATTAATTATGAAATATTTTGTACAGTTATTCGCACTGTATCTATAGGCGTTTCAGTTCCCTGTGGAAGTGAAGGCGACTTGTATTGGTAAAACTGCTTAACAGCATGCCCAGGAATAATGCGGTAGCTGAACTGTGCTCTTGTTTATTCAATCTGGCTTACTCCCGAGATCCGGAGAGTAAACTACCAACACCATCTTTTAGGAAATTATATATCTCTCATGTGAAATTTATTTAAGAACTAATGAATATGCATAACTGATTATCTTGCATTGCACTCAATTAATGAACAATCAACCAAATATGAATAGTCGATACGTTTTTACAATCATTCAAAGATTATTAACAAGAAAAGAATTGATGCAAAGCATCAAAGGGCGTCCAAGCAAGAAATTCAGCAAGTGAAGATGAACTAGTACACATATGATGACAAGATATTCTTATAAACTACCAGAAATGTATACCACTTATGAATGAGCGGACGAAAGACATTGTTCATTATGAACTTTGATTGGCATGCTAGAGATTAGAATATTACTTGTTATTTCTTTATGATCGTGGTTATTAATAGCAACGGATATACATGTATGCAATCATTTATAATCCATATGTGTAACGCATGATCAACACGTACCACACATTTGTCCCTTATTATGTACATGTTATCGCTATTAGCGAAGACCCCCTTAAGGTATCTGTTCACACTTTAAGTTAGTAAAAATATGACACTGGTTATATTACCATGTTGATCATGTTGAGCATAATTGTTTATTATACAATAATTGTAATATCTATTAATTTTTATTTAAAAAAATACAAATTTTATGAATATTGTTTTCTTTTATTCTTTTTTGTGTTTTATGTGCTATTTTAATACTGAGTTTTTACTACTCTTTTTTATTAAAATTGTAAAATAAATTTTAAGAATTCAATTGTCATATTGACCGACGATTATAAGTCAAAGCTTAACTGGAAAAAGTCAGTAAATTATGGTTTATCTTTCAATATATAATATTGTTTATTCTTAAACCATGTACATGTACATTGTATTTTTCTTTATCATTTTTTAAATTATCGATCAATTGAATAATTCATAAAATCTAATTTGTAACTTTGAATAATTCCTCGGCATCTTTACTAAACACGGATAACAAATTGAATAATTAAATAAAATGTTTCAAAGTTGATAATGTCATTTTAATACCATAAAAATGTACCTTTTTCTCAATTATTGTACATATCACGGATTTATATTACATATAAATCCGTGTACATATTTATTGTTTTTATCTCATATAGATAAAATGAAACATGCTATTGTTGTTTTTTTCTTATTGTAACGATATCAAACATCTACTCCAAAACCGGGAGAGACCGGACAATAAACGTGTGGTACTATTCGCCGGTCACTAGTAAATCCTGGTCAAAATAGACCGGAGAGACCGGCATTTACCGATAGGAGTGATAAAAAGATATATCTATAAATAGGTTTTTGGAATATTTAGGTCATCAACTGATCATTCTAGGATACATGTACAACAATAACATGCCATGACATGATAACCGACTGTGTACTACAAAATGATAAATAAAAAACCCCGAAGAGCGCGATTTATTGACGGAAAAGGTTATTTCATTTGTAAATGTTTGCATTGCGAAAATTCATTGTAACATATCGCGACATTTCATTCTTATTTAATAATCAAGCACCCTCATACCGATCGGAATTTTCGGCTTTTATTATGACCGACTAAAAGGCTCGAGAAGTTGCTGTCGCCCTTTCACAAAATCTGATCTCATTCCATAAGAGCGCCGCGCTTCGGCGCGGACGCCAAAAAAGGCAACAGCGAATGTTTTTCGAAATTGAAGAGTGGGGAAATTGTCAAGTAAATTGATTATAGTAATTTCACTTTTACCAATTAACGGGTATTTATCATCTTAGGTAAACTATTGACCGTTTATGATACACCTGCAATATGTTTACAAACACAGTGAATGCTTAACAAGAAATAACAGTCTTGGCAGGGGATGTACTATCAGCACTTAACATGTCTTTCAGGAATGCATCAGTTTTACCACTTGTGTTCAAGGACGCTTAACAGGTGAGTGGTCATTAAATTAGAAGCAAAGTACAGAATCCAAAATATTGTTACATTTATGTTCAAGTATTGTTTCATATACATTTATACTGGTAGAATTTTAAAGTTATATTATAATAGATATTATTGGTGATGAATATCTACTGGAAACAAATGTCTTATAAAGACGCTTGCTTGTCTGTTTTAACTTTGTGAAAATGTTTAAATGCATCTTGGAATCTGTATGCATCTGTTTACACTATATCGCATGTTGTATACGTTTCAGCGGATTTGATTTAGAATACACCTGCTGTTAATGAAAATCAGAACAATGTAAAACATTTATAAATTATTTATTTCACACCTTATAAAATGTAAGCAATGAACTGTCACCGTTTGCATCATGTGATCTCCAAATCATTATTTGAACCAATTTTATCAGTTTAGCTTCGATTACATTTTCGGAGTCCATTTAAAAATCAAATCACTATTGAACTCTATCTAGCAACCTGTAAACAATACACAAGTTCTAGTAAATTCCTCGCCTGAACTAGTTAAGCAGGAGGTGAACAGGTGTAAAAATGAAGTAACTTTCAGAATAAAATTATTTTACTCTTTATCCTTGATATCAAAAACATATCTAATAAGTATCTGCTTAAGATGAAATGTCAGACATCGATTCTTTTGTTTTTCTTTTATTTGAGCGTTATTTTTATCATATACATGATGTCGGCAAGTTAAAAAATCATATTGCCGTAATCGAAATACAGCTGAAATTTGTGTCAAATGTTTCAACGTTACAAAATTTATATTTTCAAATGTTGAACTGCATCTTGGAATGATATTTATTACCCCTTCTTCTCCACCAATACTTTAATAACCAAAGAAATATTTTAAACATTCGGTAAACTGTCTAAGCATCAAAGCATCGGAAATATTATGGAAGAATGTCTTTTGCGATTTTCATCCGTCATAAACATCTTTTAATTGTGTTTGCATCGAATTTTTCAGAGTAGTTTTGAACGTGTCTCAACATTTACTAATTTATGATTATCGTGTCCCATATACTTACCACAGAATGAATTAATAAAGGTAAATGATGACCCGGGTCTACGTTTTGTGAAGGTCACCTTGACTTGTTTATCTTTGTTGTCATTCTTAGGCAAAACGTTTCTTGAAATATCGACTATAAAAAAAAAACTTTCAAAACTTCACAGATTGTGTAATTTGAACTTGTTAAGATAATTTTGATAAAAATGACCATTTTGTAGTTTCAAGTAAGCAAAGATGGCACAGGTATTGTTAAAGCGTTCACTTATTATAAATCATGCAACTTTACTTTTACAGACAACGGCTAACTAGAACAAGAACATTTATTTTTGATAAAGCTTTTAAACTGGGACAAACAAAGTATTTATTGTCATTTAATCAAAATAAATAATGCATGTAAAAACAAAATAAATGAACATGAATTTTACAAATTAAAATTTTTCCAAGCAATTTTTGTAAAATAATTTCACAAAAAAGCGTTTTTACTTATAACAATTTTTAGTTTATGTTATTTTTCGTTTATTTTTTTTGTTTTTGTTTTTAACATTTTGTTATAACTTTCGATTGGTAGCCCAAATTTTTTCCTTGGTTTGCTTTTTAATAAATTTTGTTTTCCCTTTTTTCTTTTATTGTTTAAAAAATTTTTTTTTCTTCTAAAATCCAACTGAAGTTCAAAAAAAATGGCCTCCCAGTGGACGCCACCCCCTTTTACCTTCACTGCGGGAACGTGAAAATTTGTGAAGTAATCTATTTTATTTTCCAAAACAAAATTGAAAATTTTTTCTTGATTTCATCAATACTTTGTTTAATGTTACAAACTTCCTCAAAACTCTGCCTATCATTCACTGCATAAACAAGAACAAAGCCGTCTGCCCATCTCACGTGACCATCACGATGCATAGTCCATTCCTAAAACAAATTATACTTTTAGTTCAAGAACGTATGCAGTAACAGATTAGGTTCAGAATATTGCAAATAAAGAAAATCGATTAGATATACAAAAATTTACGGAAAAAAAAACACCATTGTTTCTGACTTGAAAGGAGCAACAAATTTTACACATTGAAACAGAAACCTATTTATCTGTTATGGAATCCTTAACATTGACATTGTGGGGAGGTCTGTTGCTAATGTTGTTATAACTTGTAGCCCGACCAGTTCGCACTATACCTCTTTGTGAATATTGTTTTTGTATTATTTATGTAACCATACATGTATTTATGTATTCATGCAATAACATATTATTTAACTAAACTATATATTGTTTTAATAACATAATGAAGTCAAGCTGATATAGTCAAAGAAAGTTATTTATATTTTGCGATCAAATATTTCCTGAGATTATCAGTTCGTTGAGTATATGAACTTATGCTTATACAAAAAATGGCAGGGAATAGGCTAAAATATCATAATAACTGCTAACTTTTCTGTTAGTGATAAATCTTGTAACCATTCGGGAAACATTTACAAGTTCATAATTGTAATGGCTCATTAACAAGTCTAAGCGATTCTCCAGATTCAATAAAATATGGCAGAAACCTTGTGTTTTCAAAGAAGCACATCTGATATTTAGGCTACACCAACGCATTTTCTTTCTTTTTCTCATTACTGTTAATATTTTTATAATTTTAACGAGAATTTGTAACAACAAATAGATACTTAAGCTAAACATTCACACTGAGTCTACACATGATTATTATAACGCCATAAAAGATAAAATAAAAACAATCTTCAAGAAATGTTCAAATATATCTAAGCTTCAGGTGAATGAGTGGTCAAAAATGACCTAAACCAAAGCTGACAGTTTACTGTAAACAATATCAGGTACCACAACAGGTGGAGATAATAAGACATGACTTTAGTCTGTTATTTGCCAATAATTTATTCATGGATTAACAAAGATACTGTACACAGGGCAAGTAGTAGTTGTATTTAGACACCAGCTTAATCAACATATAATACTGTATTCATATATACCAACAGAAGTACAAAACAGTTTCATATGTCTTTAATGTGAACTTTCAACGTAACAAGTGTTTCAAACACCTAAAGTATCAAAGAAAACAAAAAAATGTGTGCGTACATTCATCATATTCGTACATATGCACTTACAACCTCCAGCCTAAAAAAACTAGAATTTTAAGAATAGTTTTAATAAAACTGAATCTTATTAAGTATACAATTTATTTAGTATAACATACATGTTACAAGAGTTTATATAACAAATATGATACATTTATGTTGAATATTAAGATTATTATTGTAAAATAATTGTATGTGTAATATTTCCATGATCAAAGTATAGACACAAATTGTTAGTTTTTATGTAAGTACATTCGCTCTCAGCTCCATTCATAATACTGCCTTATACAGATTATTTATTTTAGAAAAAAGGAAAATAAAACTTACCTGGCCCGCAGTATCGAGTATTTCCATGGCAACGGTTTCATCATCTATTGTTGTTTGATGTTTGTAAGTGCATTCTGAAAATGATATAAATATAATAAAAATGATGAAATATAATTAAAAAGTGCATGTATTACAGTATTTAAGCATGTATCAAGATACAGTAATTTAAAGCCATACAAAAATTATAACGGATACACATTATGTCCTAGTTACTGCACGTTATATTGTTAATTTTAGGTAAATATTAAAAAATAAATTAGAAACTTTATATGTCTTGAATCACAAGAAGAATTTTCGTTTAAAATGTCAAAACGAGACATCCAAGAAGAACAGATGCTAAACCGTTCAGTTAACTTCAGACAAATTTTGACTGCTTTTAAACGTATTCTACGCTTATGAAAATAAAACTTACTAATTTAAAGAGTAGGAAACACACGATATATTAACTATTTGAGTTGAGTTGATAATAACTATCGATAATTCACAAATTGATAATTAGCCATCTTAATCAATATATGTAATTTCTGTTGCTGTTTTTTCTTTTGCATCTTTTTTATGTTAGTCATTTACAAAACATGTTTGCGTTTTATTTGACAAAACAATCAACAACGGGAAATTGCAAAAACTAGACATTATATAAATGTTGAGTATTTGCATGGTTAACAGACAGACAAAATGTTGGTAATTACAAGTTGGCATATTGTATCAAAGGCAGTAACAAGATAGTCATTTTTTTGTCTAACAAGAAATGAATCATTGTCTGTCATTAACAATTATATAAGGTACAATACTTTAATTACCGTAATTTTCCAGTAAGAACAACTGAAGTAGAATTTAAGATGAAATTTTGAAGTTATTAATTACATGTATTTTATGTGTTTGTCCCTTAGATATGGTAAGATATGCTTATATTTAATTATGCATATGACTCTCTTCCAATCACATGCTACTCACCGTTGTAGGTTTAAATCCCACATGATGAGTTTTATTTTCATGTGAGGAACCTATCCACCTAGCTTAACGTACGTAAAAAACAAGAATAAAGATCAACAAGGCAAAGGCAACGTTCACAGGACGCGTAAGGTTGGTAGTTTAAATCCTGCATGATGAGTTTTGTTTTCATATGAGGACCCTACCCACCTAGCTGAACGTACGGAAGGCCGTTGGTTCTGCTCATGTGCAAACTTGTGAGTGGAATAAAGCACTCAGTGGCATCTGAGGTCCTCAGCAACAAACCAAGCTATGACCTTAACAGTGTCAATTTGAAATTTAGTATATTATGTAATGGAAAAAGTTGCGTAAAGTATAATTGACCGTATGATAGCTGTATGGTGCGATGTATTTTGGTTAAATTATATCTAAAACATTTTTCACGCTGTGTGAGATCATTATAGTGTAAAGTTTAATGCAGATACATGTCTGAGCATGTCTCGTACCTTATTCATATTGACTGCACCCTGTTGCATGTCAAATTTAAATGAGTCAACGAAGTGAACACTTTATAACAAATATTTTTCATTTGTATTCCTTTGCAAACAAATGCAAATTTTTCTCTAACAACATGCAGGTTGATATATACACAGGTGTTCACTATTAAAAACATTTTCTTCTGTTCCGAAACCTTGTTTGAATGTTTTAAATATGTTTACACGCATCTGTTAGATTAAACATTTGATACCTATTTTGGAAGCAGGCATTTCCTCATTAAGTTTTTCAAAAATATCAAATTAACACGCATGATAAAACACCGTATTAATAATTGATAAAATGATAAGTAATTAAAGGTCTATTTCGAAAAAATAGATGTGTTGTGAATTCATTATCACATCAGAGGATTTAGGATCATATTATCAAACGATATAGTACAGGTCAGTGTAAAGGAACCTTAATTGTTTATTATAAACAATTATTTACGATTTTTTCTCACGTAACTAAGATGAACCACTGTAAGTTTAAATCATTTTTTAAATACATCGCTTATTCCGCTATAGTATGTAATAAAAATACTAATTTAAGGGAGTGTGTGTTTTTTGAAAGTGTGCCACGTTAACAGGTTGTTATTGTTGATGTACTTGATTAGGTTGACAAGGTCTTGAAACAGTATGAAACGACATAAGGTCAGTGTAATAACTCAGTAGCATTTTAAAATTTAAAAAGGTATAAGCAGTAACAACAAAAGCAACGAAAACAACATCATCATCAACAACAACAACAGCCAAATATCCATTCTTTCGTTTCAATGGCGTTTATCTGTTAGATCTGTCACACATTATATAGGAATAATCTTCTTAAAATGTTTAATGATATTTATGAATAAATAAACATATGGTCTTACCTAATGTGGGGTCATACTCCCAGATAAAACGCTTTGTTAAAAATCTTACAACCAAGGCTGAAATTGAATAATAAGTATATATTATTACCAATGTCTTTTATTTAGATCATATATAGTTCAAATATTGATAGATTTCAGGATTATTGATTGGTCTGTCTATAAAGATTTATCTCAAATTTTCATTTTAGAAATGTTAATCTTTTCTTTACCCTATATGAATGAGAGCTAAATTTAACACAGAAATTTGCTTGTTTTCATACAATTTGTATGTTTTTTTTTCTCTAATATATTACATTTTACAAGTTTAAAAAGGAGAGAAATATACAAAGAATGCTCGTTTATGCATTAAATAAGTGATTTTCTATAATAAATTAATATGCTACGTATCCTCAGCTATTGATACATATTGATTAAGACAACAATTGAATCACGTGATATACCTTCAATTTAGTATACATGTATATCGACAAGATGATAAAGATGTTATGAGTTTATATCGTGTAAAGAAATACGTGTTGTTTTTTTATTAGTCCGCTGGATCGTTTACCAATTTTTTTTTATTTTTAGTTAAAGATATACTTTGTTATAATTTGGTATTTGAAAATAATGATAATTGCCAGGCAGTCTCTTTGTGAATTTAAAATAAACATGTTTTTCTTAAAATAAACTCTACACATTTTAAGTGGACACCATATGAATATATAGTGTCTTAACTGACCCGCAATAGTGAATGCATCATCCAATATAAAGTTTGTAGATTCTTTAATTAAAATTAGACCTATGCAGTAATAATGTCATAGATGGGACTGAAATATTTTAGATTAAGATGAGAATATCGTATCTTAAAATATATAGTAACAGTCATATCAAACACAAATGATGTATATAAACGATTGTGCCTATTCTGTAGATAACGTATCAATATGTTACGATATATATGCTAAAATATCACATGAAACAAGTAAAGAATTTGAATAAATTGTTCAAAATTATTTTCTATCACCCTGATCGCTGTTACCTGACCCTAATTTAATCGACACGGGAATATCTTACACTTAAATACATGATATAGAATTTCCGACATGCCTTGATAACCTATAACTAATAAACTTTCCATCTGCTTGATTCTTAAATATCTTGTGGGTAGTTTCCTGCACTTTACGCTCATTAAAATGCATTAACCTTTTCATTATCAAACGTATAGCGGACCCAACCAAGCAGAATACTGTAAACTATCTCAAGATACCGGAGATGAAAGACTGTGACTTGTCTGGTATGCATGTCAAATCATTTAAAGTTCTAAACGAGTAGCTGAAAGGGGGTATAATTAAAGTCAAAAGCACTTTAGACCTGACTTTACCTTCAAATAAAATCAGATGATGTTTGCAATACACTTCAACTAAATTAAAAGCTTGTCAGTTTTCAATGCCTGTTTTATTTATGTACATATCCGGGAGTGTGTTTTTGTGTATTTGATAAACAGAGCATTGCGATAAAGAAAGATCTTTATAAATGTAAAGAGCGTCTACTTCTGAATTGATTCAATACATCTATATGTTAATTTTTTTCAGACATTTTTTCACCTTCAGTTATTACATTTGTGCAATAAATAGACCGTTAATAGACGTGTTATTAATGAAACGAAATGATATGAATAAATTTATTTTACTATTATATATATTTCAGAATAGGTATTACAGAATGGAGGACGATGTGACATGATTTTATGAATAATTACAAATTTATTAATAATCACTAGATATTACAGATTTAGTAGCGATTTTATAAAAACTCGCTTTTGCTTGATATAGATTTTAATTTCAAAGAAACAAAGGTAGTCTCTATTGTCGATAGCTGTGATAGCTGCTGGCTGGAAAACGTCATCGATAAGGAAAGATGAAACAAAAAGGACAAAGAACATATAAAAGAATTGATATACTTACCCGACTTTCCAACACCAGCACCACCAAGAATACAGATCTTTGATTCCACAGATTTCCCTTTGCAATTCGAGGACATGTTTTTCCTTTTTAATTCTGTACCATCTTATCTCGAAGAAATAGCTAATCTTAATCCAGTTTTATTCACTTGTAAATCCAACTAACTATCAAAAGCAATGAAACTTCCAGAACTTTATATCAAATTTCTCTAAACTTATATTCCAGATGAATTATAAAGTAAAAATTCCAGAATAAAAAAAATCATTTCAATCACGAGTGTTTTAATTCAAAAGTCGTTAAAGTTTTTACATCGTAAATATATTCAATAGCAACTGCACCAATTACACTAAATCACAATTATAAAAGTATAAATTTCCCCGTATACTACTCCCCTTCTCAGGTGCTGCCTAAAACGCTTCAACAGGTGCGTTAACAGTATATAAAATCTGAAAAACACAGGAGAAAGAAAATAAAAACTGTTACAAAAATAAACCTTTTTTCATCCATGAAATTAGCAAATCACAAATGAACTACCCCGATAATATAAATATAAGAAACTATGTATAGGTATTATGTTATACTTTATGTCAATAGCCAGGTTTGCGGTCAATCACTTTGTATTTTAAAATTACAAATAGACGTAACTCGAGATGTGTTGTGCAGCTATTAAAAGTATTAAATTATTTGTAGTGTAGGATAATATAACACGTAATTGAAAATTATATTCTTTTACGGTTTGTCAAAAAAGAATTTTATTTGAATGAATTAAATAAGCTCGCGTATTTCTAATATTGATTTTAAAGAATGTTGAAGTTAACAAGCAAAATAATTATATACAAATTCATATACAAATTTATAAACAAAGTTTCAGTTTTACAAATATACCTTACTTTACTGGTTAAAATGTTTCACCATTCTTTTACGAGCTATACGAAAACTGAGTGGATAGAATATTTAAGACATATATTTGCACAATACAAGCATATTGCTTGAAGTATAAAGAAAATAAGATTTTTAATTTTATCGCAAGTAAAAAAAAAAAAAATGGCCAAACAGCTTTACGTTGTTATCGAGGTACTGTTAAAAGATAGCAGGTTTAAAATAAGATAAAAAAGCACAGATTTTATTTAAGCTATCATGATACCTTTAAATCATTAAACTGAAGATAACGGAGGTGCAATCTGTACATCTGTAAACTTTGATACCAAGATAAAACCCGACTTGATAAAAAAATCTCTAAAAAATCTCTCTTTAAAAAAAAACCAGTTTGAGTGAAAAAAATAACAGCACGCTAACAAATAATCCATTTCGTTCACCAGAGCTATATATTTACGGTCTGTGAATTGTTTTTATTGTAATTAAATAGGATGACGGAATACCAGAAGGAAAGAACTTTGCAAGTAAATTAATTAAAAGCGAGTGGAGCATGTATATGTATAAATTCATCCCGTTACCTACTATTAAAATGACAATACAATATTTTGTTCCACAACACTTTAATATAAGTACGTACAAAGTTGGTGTTAATTTAATTACATAGACATTGTATATATAACAAAACTTTCAAGGAAATACAATAAGGTTACGAAAACAACATAATTTTACAGATTTTAAATTGTTATAAAATACCCCGTCAGATATTCATTTAACACGCACCATTATTGTTTCTTCGGTCAACGCTACTTTTTTTTTATTTAGATAAAGTTACAGTGACCTAGTATTAAGTGGTAGGGTATCTGTATAACAAACTATGCAACATTTTATCATCCATATTATCATTTATCTTTTAAAATTGCTATACAATAAACATGTATATGAGCCGCATCATGACAAAACCGCAGTCTGATCAGGATCCATGCTATTCGCTTACAAACCCTATTACAAGTAGTGAAACTGATAGCGAACAGCATGGATCCTGATCAGACTGCGCGGATGCGCAGGCTGGTCTGGATCCATGCTGGTCGCAAACGCACTATGTTGGTTTTGTCGTGACGCGGCTCATATAAAACTGATCATCAATGAGTTATTATTTCGTGTAAACATGTCTACAAAATGTTACAATGCGAATCTGTGGACGAGTAATAGAGTAATTTATTTTATATAAAAAAATTCATGTAAGATTTTTTTTATTTCACATATTATTAAAAACTACATTAAACTCAAAATTTTGATTTTATGATAATGATAGTTGATCGTATAAAATATACGTTCGTATTAATGTTTTTTTTGTCTATTTCATTTTGTTTTATCTTTTATCATAAATTGAAGATATAGTATTTTTTTGTGAATGTTCTATGGCAATTTATATTACTAATATAAAAAGACTTAATGTGAAAATATTTACCTCTAGTTATGATAAATCACAAGTTCATAATTTATGTTACAAATCGCTAATAAATTACGCACATTAGGAACAAATCCAAGATGTTGAACGCACACTTATTTAAAGGCTATCAACAAATTTCCAAACGTCTTTCTACAAATTGATCCATTTTGTCCGATGAGAAGAAAAGTAGTTCGTGTGTATTGCAGGTATACCATTCATCAATATAACAGATGTATACATCTCAACAAAAACTGCGCTACATTGTACAACCAGGCTATTTGCTTTTTCTATAACTATATAATGCCTTAGGTACAAGTTCGCTAGAGTCGAGTCTCTGAATATCATAAATTTGGGATTTGAATTAATTTAAAGACAGATTGTGGCGCATCAAAATTTTCCTTTTTAGTACTATTTAGTTCATTAACTTTCATAAGCCAGTTTAAATACCCGTGAAGAAATAAAGAAACCCTTGTAAAGTTGACTCAATAAACCAATAATTCAATTTATTTCACACATTTGGACCACTAGAAATCAATATCGGATCCAAGCAATTTAGCCTCATTTTCACAGTCCAAAATATCTATATCAAATGCATATTGTCCCTAAAGTAGCCTCGTTTTCAGTTTTAGAGTCTACAATACCTATATGAAATGCGAATCTTACGCTAGATAGATGTGCATTTCATATATGTATTGTAGACTCTAAAACTGAAAACGAGGCTACTTTAGGTACATCATGTAGTTGATATAATAGTCTATAATCTTCAGTTATAATTACGAATATTTACACCTTCAAATTGTAAAGAAAGTTATGAAAATATTCCATAGTTTCTGTAAGAGATAGTTTGTATAATGTGTATACAATGTTGATAATAATAATTTATATTTATTTTTACTTACCAAACAAAAAATAATTTCGTTTCCAAAAGAAACTCCGTACTGCTTCTGTTTCCCTTAGCATTAATTTATTTATTGCACAACTAAAACCGTTTATCAGTGTTTAAATTTTAATAAAAGTCTATATATTTATAGATAGTTAGTGAAAAGCGAACATACGATAGTACAATAACTTTTATCTGTGAATATATCATAATCCGTGGTGTTATAATGTATGGGTTAAAATGATGATTACATTTAGTGAATATGGAATGTCGCTGTAACTCACGTGGAGATCAGTTGCCAGGGTCTTACCATATACCGACATGAATGTCATTGAACTGTAAACAAAACACCGTGAAATCGCCGCGACAAACACCTCTTGTGAGTATCTTTTTTGTGAGTTAAATCATGCAAAATGATTCATTATTATGATGTTTTTGTAAGATTGTCGTTTTCGTAACCTTTTATTTCCGTTTTCTAACGGTGAAATTTAAGAATGAGTCATTAAATAAACAAAGGTGTGTTTGAACATTCATTTTCTATTTTATCTTTATCATTCTTTTTTGTTTGTTTGTTTCTTTGTCTCGATATAAGATGTTTCTAAAAGTTGCCTTCCCCCCTACAATGCAGTTTGACCTAATTTGCATACGACATAGTTTCGACTCAGCGACCTAGTGACATTGAAAAAACGTACTTTTAAGTTTGTATTTTATTGCTGTCTTTCAAGATTTGATAATTTTGATAATTTGATCATGTTAAAAGAGTATCATAAAGGGTTAACAATGTTGTTATACTCTGAATGTCATGCTGGTACAAGATGTTAGTGAACTTAAGGCAAAAAAAGATAAATGTTATTTACCGATAGAATACTGAATTGTTATTGTCAAGTATATGTTATTCATCTCACATTTTAGAATATCTTCTTTCTTTTAACTATTATGAATAGTATAATATAAAGTCAGAAACTCGTACTCAATAACCTTTTTATCTAAACATTACTGTTCTAAACGTTTTATTATAAATAATGATTAAAATGATTGACTAACGAACAGTGTGAAATGTATCCTGGTTTACATAAATATATATATCTAAATTATTCATTCTACGATTTAATATTATACAATATTTTTTACGTTGGATTTCAGTACAGGTGTGTCGTGTTTAACGCTTTTTATTTATATTTTGGCAAATATATTATTCAGTTCTTAAAACATGGCAAAAATAACGCATCGTTCTTGATTTTAATGGCATCTTTAACAAGCAAATTTTGGCAAAAAAAAAGCAAATGTTGATTCATCTTCATAGTGCCATCAAATTATTGAAATCATTTCAGTCAATTTAAATCACATTAATATAAAACTTTGGAATGCAAATGTTTTTGTATCAATTACATACCTCTTAAACTGTTTCAAAAATAAATTAGATTTAACAAAAACACGTGATTTTAACTTCTAAACTGTTTATTCTCCTTCAGAACTAGATTACAATTGTGTTGCTATGTCGGGTAAACGTGTATCAAAATCAGCCTGCACGATGTTAGTAGATGTCAACGTTAGGAAGTTTGTACTTTTTTGCTCGTTTTATTCTTAATTTTTTTTTCCTGCGCATTCTTGCTATCTAAAGCAGTTATGCCGTTGGATTTATTTTGATTTTACATAATGTACAAAACAGACCATATTTCCCTTAAAATCCATTTGTATTATACTATATATAAGGATCATAAATGCATGCAGTCCGAAACATTGATACGCTAACGGAATACAAATTGGGCTAAGAAAAAATCAAACTGAATTGAATAAAAAAAGATATATACCGGAACAACGCAGATAGTTTGTTTAATGATTAAGCAAAAAACTGTTCAACGGTGACCTTCATTTTTTTGTTCTTTTTTTAAAGAAGACTCGTTGATTAAAATATAGAAAAAGACCAATCTTTTGAATTATTAATCTCCATAAAGATCCAAATAGATCGGATTTACAAGTTGTTATGATAAAAAACAAGCTGTTATTGTACCAATTATATGCACTGATATAAATTTGACATGTTGCGTAATCTTTCAGATAAGAAAAGTATGTGTTTTACCTATAGAAAAAAACACCTAAAATATTAATAACAGGACTATCATGGGAGAGGCATCAACTAAAGCCAAACATCTGATAAACATAAGATAAACATAAGATAAACAAATCTCGTTCATTTTTAATATAACTTTGATTTCTAACTTTCTAATTCAAAGTTTGTGCATGAAGTAAACAAATGCTGCACCTTGTATATGATATATATTTGCAGCATATTCATTCTGTAAAATGATATAGATATAACATTTTTGAATATCATTATAAAACAACAGGCCAAGAATAAACTAAATAATAAACTGATGTAATATGATATACTTTTATACAGTGTAAAACTGTCTAACAAGAACAGTTAAGTAATTTACTCAATGATCTTTTCACAAGAACTAGCTTCTCGTCATGGACATTAGACTATTATCACTCACAGGACAGTAATTATGTGGCTAGAGGGACAGTAGGTAATGCTTTTATGTGGCTATTTTTTGTGTGGCTAAAAAGAACAATAGAGAGAACAATAGAGAAGCCACATAATTACTGTCCTGTGTGAACGTCCGCTCTACTTGTCTTTAATATAGACAAGTAATCTTAGCCTGTAGACATTTCGCTTTCCCTTTCTATCTAACTTAAACCTTTTGTTACATTATCAAAAATAGAACTCTATATGAAATTTAACTAAAATTGTCCAAAGGGTAATGACACTTGGTATATTAATGTATTAACCTAAAGATTTTACAAATGATACACATTCAATACAATTTAAAACAATCAATCTTTGTATATATTTGTGGTTGTAAAACGCGACAAAAAAAACAACAGCCATATAATAAGGCATGACAACCGATCAAAAAGTTAAAAGTTTTATAATGAAATGACCGATTAGGACCCGACCGTCTGTGTAACTGGCTTAAATAAATTTTCAGAAAATAAACGAGATACACTCGTTTGTACGCCAACCGTTAGAAATATAGAAATATTAATATTTGTCTTCATTTGCAAGAGAAATGTATAGTCTGATTTTATTCACCAGTCAATTATGAATACGTTTAAATATTTGATCCCACTTCGGCTCTGTCCGTGTAGTTAACGAGAATTAATATGGAGTACAGAACTAATGTTTTGAAAAATCTCACCAGCTTAATGTTACATGAAGTCGTGGTCACATCCGCGATAACAAAGTCGGTTAAGTGATTACCTTATATAAGAGACGACTGTAGTTTGATCCCTACTCTTGCCATTGTGAAGATCTCTTTTTCGTTTATGTGTGCATTACATTAATGGTGAATGTCAAGTGCTTTCAAAATTGTCAACACGAATATATGAAATAACATAGAAACACTGTTTTGCCTCGTTTGTATTGTATTTTACGGTATTGTAATGGCATTTATTAATTTTAATGCGAATGAATTTTAAGTAATTATTTATTATTAAACATGTTTAATTTTACCAAAACATATTCAAAAGCAAAACAACATAAACACAATCACACTTCTTGTCTTTGATAGTGTGAGAGTGACGTTTCATTTTATGTGTACACAAACAATTTCAACAAGTACAATAAATAAGACAAAACACATGTACATACGAAATCTCGATCTTACAACACGTAGGATAGAAAATATAAACCCGTAGTTAAACGTATTGCGCTTTAACACTCAATATGCTAATTTCATAGACACAAATTAAATTAAATTAATCTTACTGCAGGTGTTTGTAGTTTTTACTCCGAATTAGGCTGTAAGCCACATTGAAATTACCAGAGCACCGTTCAGCCACAACATAGTTTCCGGGCAGACTTCAAGCATTTAACCACTACTATTTGTTTTTACTTTAGCAAGGAACAGTTACTTATGTACATGTCATAGCAGAAGTACAGTAGAAAGGATTTCATTATCAATCACAACGAAAGTGGCCTGCACCGTCCGGGAATCGAGCTCGGGTCGTCCAATTCACAGACCAACGCTCTACTTACAGAGCTAACAGAACGGATTAACTGAAATCTATCGAATATTTTTAATATATTATGTGCATTGACCGTATTATAAGTATGCCATGGACAGATTGATACCAGACAATTAACAGCTTCTTCATTTCTTGTCAAATATAACGAAAATGTATATAAACATAAATATACTTATAAAACATATTTCCAAAATGAATACTGCAAACATTTTCTAAAAATAGTTTTCTCCATGGTTATTAAACATAAAACAACAAATACTTCTTCATTTAAGAAGCTGACTATTAGATAGCAGAAGTTACACAAGTA